GGTGCATGTTGATGAAGCGGCCAGCAGAGCAGGAGCAGGGGCTGGTATAGTACTCGTCAGTCCGTTAGGCGCCTTGCATGAGGTGGCATTGCGGTTCGCTACTTTTAAGACAAACAACGCGGCGGAATACGAGGCCGTTCTTGCGGGACTCCATTTTGCAAGAGAGCTAGGCGCCCAGAAGGTGAATGTCAAAACAGACTCGGCGTTGGTGGTTAACCAGTTGAACGAAGTGTATGAAGTGAAGGAAGAGACGTTGGGAGCCTACGTGCATGTTGTACGCAAAAGGTGTGCCTGGTTCCGGGGCGTGACGTTCACCCATGTTCCCAGAGAGGAGAACGCCCACGCAGATGCTTTGTCCAAGTTAGCAACGACTCTAGATTTTGAGGAAAGTCGGACGGTGATTGTGACGAGGGAAGGGCCGCACGAGGAAATGGTAATGGCATCTCTCGCAACAGAGGAAAGGGAAGGATGGATGGCACTAATTTGGCTTTTCCTCACCCAAGGAGTAGTACCAAAGGATTCGAAAGAGGCGTGGCGCTTGCGAAGGAAGGCGGCCCGATGTGCCATAGTTGATGGGGTGTTATACAAGAGGTCACATTCGGGCGCCTACCTAAGGTGCCTAACTGAAGGTGAGGGTTTAGAAGCGATCAAGGAAGTCCATCAAGTAACTTGTGGCATGCATGCAGGCGCCCGAAGCCTAGAAAAAATTCTGCTCCGGCAAGGGTATTATTGGCCAACAATACGGGCGGACGCCGCGAAACATGTGGCAGCTTGTCACCAGTGCCAAATTCACGCCAACGTTGTCCACATCCCAGCGGCACCCATGCAAGGTAATGTAGGCGTCTGGCCCTTCGCACAGTGGGGCATGGACCTCCTGGGCCCCTTTCCTAAGGCGCCCGGTCAATTCAAGTACCTGATAGTGGCAGTGGACTATTTCACCAAGTGGATTGAGGCAGAGCCGTTGGCATCGATCACTGAGTCACAGGTCCGGAAGTTCACCAAGAAGAACATCTTTGCTCGATTTGGACTCCCGGAGTCCATCATCACTGACTACGGAAAGCAATTCGATTGTAAGAAATTCATTGAATTTTGTGATGAGAATGGAGTTGTGTTGAGGTTCTCTTCCGTAGCTTACCCACAAGCCAACGGACAAGCTGAGGCGGCCAACAAAAGTATATTACATGGACTACACACCAGGCTGACGGAGGCCAAAGGCAAGTGGGTGGAGGAGCTGCCGAACGTTCTGTGGGCGCATAGAACCACGTTCAAGGTGGCTACGGGCGAGACACCCTTCGCCTTGACATATGGGAGCGAAGCTGTTTTGCCCGTGGAAATGCGAGTCCCAACTTTCCGAATGACTCGCCGGGACGAGTCAATGGGCGCCCAGGAGCGGATCGACGAGTTGGACCTATTGGATGAGCGCCGGGAGGTGGCAGCCCTAAGATTGGTCGCAATGAAGAGCCAGGTGGCGAGGTATTACAACAAAAAGATGAGGGCGCACAATCTTGCTGTGGGTAACCTTGTGCTGAAACGAGATTTTTCGTCCTAATGCTGTGGAAAGGAAGTTGGCACCAAAGTGGAAGGGGCCATATCGCATTCAGGAAGTTGTTGGCCCGAATACGTTTAAGCTGGAAAACATGTCGGGCAAGAGGGTCAAGAGGACATGGAACACCCAAAATTTGCGGAGGTACGAAATGGAAGGAATGACTGGTGTTGTGCCCACGACAGAGGCACAGGCGCCCGTCCAGGAATAGAGTACGTAGCAAGGCGTTTGTTGGGGAGAGCTTGTTTTGCTTATTAGGTTTACGTTGAATTGTCAAAAACGCCCTTCTTTGCGCCCGAAATTTTGTAAAGCGCCCCACTTGCGCCCGCTCCATGTAAAGCGCCCCCATTTTGCGCCCATTTTCCACAACCGGATTAATTATTATCTACAAAATTTGGCATCAGTATACCTCGTTGCGCCCATTATAGCGCCCATCATAGCGCCTGCATGTTTGCGCCCAATGCATTGCGCCCGTCATAGCGCTCATTATAGCGCCCGTATGTTTGCGCCTAACATAGCAAGATATAGTTATGCAAGTTTGTGAAAGGGTTGCTCAAATAAACGCCCATCAAAAGCACGAAAGTTCATAAGCGCCTAAACAGGGAAGCTCCTCCATATTTAACAAACAGGCGCCTAACATAGCAAGACTTGTTTACGAAATTTTGCGAAGAAAATGAATAGATAGGCGCCCATCATAAGCAAGGGTGTTCATAAAACATGCAATTCAAAGGCGCCTAAAAGAGACATAGACAAAATCCATAATGAGACAATGAAATAATTTGGCAGGCGCCTTGACCCATTGCAAAGAAAGAAAGTTAACATAATAAGGAGTTCACAAACCATAAAAATAGAAGAAAATAATATACAAGGGTCGGACACTACGCCGCAGGCGCTTCATTATCAGAATCGGCAGAAGAATCACCATCGCCATCATCTTCGTCTCCTCCGCCATCAGCAGGCGCCTGGTCATCAGCGAGTGTTTCTCCCTCCATAGGCGCCTCGTCTATGTGGGAAATGACGAAGCTCACTATCGACTGAAGGTCCCAGTCGAGGTCAGGATGATCAGCGAGGAGCTTCCTGCGCAAGACCAGAATGCTGTTCAGAGCTGCATCAGCCTTAAGCGCCTGGCATGCACTTGACTTCGCGAAATCCGCGGATTGCGCTACCAACTCCTCCTTTTCGGCCTCAAGCGCCTGCTTGCCCTTCTCGAGCGCCTGCTTCTCCTTCTTGAGCGCCTGTATCGCGCTCGCTTGCTTTTTATTCTCCTTACTCAGGGTCTTATTCTCCTTCTTCAGGGCTCCCTTCTCCTCCTTCAAAATGTCCATCTCACTCCGCAGATCGCCTGCCTCCCTTTCAAGCGCATCCTTCTCCAACCTGACTTTGGTCTCGGCATGCGCCCTCTTCTCATCTTCGAGCCGCCCCTCGAATTCTTCACGCACCTGCTTCCTCTCCTCATCAATCTTTATTTGCACAAGTGAGGCGCTCTTAGCGGCCTCAAGTTGTGCCTCATTGCACATCTGCACCAGCTCCTCTTGGCGCCTCTGAGCAGTCGCGAGGTTTTCTTGGGCCACACTGAGGGAGGTGGTGGCCTCACGGGCCTTGGCGCGTAGCGCCTCGCGCTCCATTATTCCCTTCTTCGCCACCAACATCATCTGCAAAATAGGCATAAGTGCAGGATAAGATGGTCAGGCGTTTGTCATGGCAATATAAACGAAAATTTCGAAGAAAATACAAGTTAAACAACTTACATGGGCGTATATTCGGGCCACCTCACCCCAGGGATCGGCGCCCTCTAGGTCTAGGGGCGCCCGGAGTACATCCCCCGCAGACAGCGCCATGTGAATGGCAGCGCCCCGTTCCAGCGCTGACCGATCGGAACAAACTATGTCCACCTTGTGCTTCGGAGGTTGAAGCCACTTCTTCATCCCCTCAGGCACCTCGGCGTCTTCCGACAGGCGCATACGTTTGCCCGAGTCTTGCTGAGCGCCCTCTGCCTTCCTCTTCTTCCTAAGGGATAAAGGCTCGTTGTCTTCGGGATCATCGGATCCCTCGAGCAGGTCAACTACGGGCGCCTGCACATCTGCCGGATCGGTAACAGGAGGCGCATCCCAAGTAGATAACAGATCTCCTAAAGGCTCCGACGCCTGGGGGCTCGGAATCTTTGTGGGCTGAACCTTCTTCGGGGATTTCACCCTTCTGCTTGGGCGCCCCTGCCCCTTGCTAGTAACGGGGAAAACCTTCTCCTTTTCAGCTGGGGCAGTCCGCACTTGCTTGGAGCCGGCGCCTTTTGAGGTAGTGGGCTTGGCAGCTCCGCCGGACTTCTTGCCGCCTTTCTTGGCAGTAGGCCCCTGCTTGGCCACCAGCCCAAGTTGCGCGAACCGCGACTTCATTAGTAGACCCATGGAAGTGAAGTTGGAGCCTGCACAAAAAAGATGGTTAGAGTTCAAAAAAAAAAAAAAAAAAAAGCTAGGCGCACACCATCATTATAATACTCCTCCAAGACAGGCGCTCGGGAGCTGGTGGGACGAAGGTTAACTGGGTATAAAGAAAGGAGTCGGGCGCCTTCGATCTCCTCACCGGTGGAAAGGGTCACATCAACATTAAAGGGCTCATGACTGCCCATTACCCAACCCCTGGTGAAGGAGGCGCCACTTTCGTAAAAGGAATCCTTATGCGCCTTCACGAAGAAGTAACTCCTAAACCACTCCCTCCCTAACTTAGGACAATCTATTAGGAAATGGCCGGGGAGACCTAGGCGCCTCTGCAGTGATAGGCAGTTATCGGAGTACATCATGTTGAAACAATAATGGAATAGGTTGAAGGTGGGCTCGACGTTATGCTGGCGACACTTCAACTTAAACAAAATATGTATAAGGAAAACGGAGGGGGACAGGCGCCCAAGCGAACATCCACAAGTAGTTAGAATGCCCTCGAGGATAGAATCGAGGGGGAATCGGAGTCCAAAACGAAAGTACTCCCGGTAGATGCCAAGCCATCGAGGTCCGACTACTCCAATCCGGGCCATACTGGGGGCAGGCGCATAGGACCAAGAGCGCGGAAGTTGCATTGACACGGCGATATTTTCTAACTCCAAGGATTTTATGGTAGAAATTTTACGTGGCCCTCCTTCATGAAGCGGGAGGTGGTGTGTTTTGTCAGGCGCTTGTCCCGACGGCCAGGTGTCTACCCATCTCTTAAGCTTAATGGAATCACCCTCCTCGGCGTCCGAGTCCGAAGACGGTGGAGACATTGTCGGTCCGGAAGAATGTGATGATCCGGGCGAGGCGCCTATAAGGGTCGATGCAAAGGTGGTATCAATTCTAAACCCTACAGACTACAGGCGCCGGCCCTAAAAAAAAAAAAACCGAATTCTTTACTTACTCGGTTGGGAATTCGAGGGCGCCGACTTGTCACTAGCAGGGTTTGCAGGGGGATTCGAGGGAGGCGCCGCCGCGCCCTATTCGGCAGTGTCACGTGTAGACGTGGCCTGAGAGCTGAGTGGCGTAGCGTCTGAGGGAGCGTCGCTCTTGCTAGACGCTTGAGATCTGGCGCGAGGAGTCCAGGCGCCCTTCTCACGGAGCGGGTCAGGAGAGAAGTGCCCCTCCAACTCCTGTAAAACATCGGGCTCCGATGGCTTCTCCTTCGGCGGGATTGCTGAGGGGGCGCCCGAGCCGGATTTGTTTGACATAATGAGGAAGCAAGACGGGGATGGGAGGCGCACATGCAGCTCGGCCTAGAGAGAGAAAGTCAGAGCAAGGTAGAGAGAGAAGGGATTTGTGCGAATGAAGAAGGGAGGAGGCGGAATGTGGTATTTATATGAGGAGGAGCCCAACGGACAACTACGGGGATGCGCGCCCGACCCCCAGATCTCATCCTCACCGTCCGTTTGAATTTTGAATTTCAAAAAAAAAAAAATTCAAATTCAAATTTCACAACGCACGGAGAGGGGGGCATACGGGTACGGGCGCACCGGGGACTACACTACTAGGGCGCCTAACTTAATGGTCTAGGCGCCTCCTTAGGGACGTCCAAACGCGGATGGAAAAACAAAGAACGAGGGAGCCATAGTACGGGGGGACAAGGTTTGTTCACGAAAACGCTCAGGAAAGCGCCTAGAAATGATCTAAACGGTTAAAGCAATCAGGCTCTCATCGAACGATCGAGGGCGCCCAGACCATCGTGAAGTCGATTAGACACTACGGGCAGGGGAATTACGTATAGTTAGACACTCATGGCATGCCATGAGCGCCTAACTGGGGGACAATTGTTGGGTGTATACATAGGCAGACCATTGGGGGACATGGGCCCGTCCAAGATGCTCAGGCCCAAGCCCGCTTTAAGAGATGGGGATGAAAATAAGGAGTAAGGCCCAGTCAACGGCCCACAGGCGCATGGCGACAAAAAGGGACCAAAGTGCTTAGAGCGTGCCACCTGGACAGGTGATCCCTGCAGGCGCCAGGAGCCAGGAGCTGCCACGTGGAGGCGCCCGACCGTTGGGCCGTACCGAGCATTTAATGACGCGCTGACGTGGAGCTGGATTCTAGGAGCCTGGTCGGGGCCTCGACGAGTATAAATAGTACTCGGTAGGTAGCATTTACGCAGGTTGGTTTCTCTCACTAAGATCCCCAAAGCACTTCTCTCTCTAAACTGAGGACTGACTTGAGCGTTGGAGTGCTAACGGGCATCTCAAAGCCCTTAGGCGTCCATCTGTGCAGGATCTGGGCGTCTGTGGGGAAGTCCGTCGTACGGAAGTTCGAAGGAACAGGTTCGAGGGTTACGTGGCTTCAACAAAAACCAATAACACAAACTATACGAATCGAGTGATAAAAAGTATACGAACCAATAACACAAAATATATCAACAAATACTACCAACAATAAAAATCATATGATAAACTTATCGAAATTAATATTGTAAAATATAAAAACCAGAAGATAAAAGTATACAAATTAATAATTTAAGGTATAAAAATATATGATAAAATATACAAACAATATCATAAAAGTATATAGCTATATCACAAATTTATACAAATTAATATTACAAAGCATACAAATTACATTATAAAAATACACATATCATAGTGACAATTATAAACAAAATATACTAATAATAGAAGAAATCACTACTTATAATACCAACTGATATGACTTTTATTACCAACTAATAATACAAAGTACACAAATCAAATCTTAAAAATATTAATATTAGAAAGAATACAAAGCACATCATAAAAATATAAAATCATAAGGACATGATATACAGATCATATTAATCGTACAAGCCGACAAGAGTAGCATTACAAACCAATACTCCAAAGTATACAAACTAGATATAAAACTATATAAAACAATAATAGTTTAGTTTGGCCCTGCGGTAGTTTTTGCAAAAGCAATTTCTGGCTGGAGCTTTTAGATAAGTACTTTTAAAAAAAACAGTTGAGTGTTTGGCTGTAAAACTATTAGAAGTGCTTTTTAATATGAAAGATTGTGTAAAATGACTATAAAATACTTATAATATAAAATACAATAAAAATTCTAAACAATAAAAAGTAAACAAAATGGATCTTGTTAGATTTCTTTTATAATTTATTTTATTTTTAAAATTATATAAATGAAGGAAAATTATATTTTGTGAAATAAAATTAAAATATGGTAAGGATAATCTTATATTTCCAAAACAACTTTTCGCAGAAGCTCCAAATCGGAGCTTCTGCTTTTATGTTATACAAAAGCGCTTTTCGGCTTTTCAAAAGCCGAACTTTTACAAGTGTTTGGCACTGCTTCAGCTTTTGAAGTCTAAAAGCCGGGCCAAACATAGGGAATATAAAATATACAAAACAGCATTAGATATTAATAATATAAAGTATACAAACCAGTTGTACTGTACAAAGTAAAAATTTAATAATATAGAGGATATTAAGTACACGAATCATATCACTAATATTATAAAGCATATAACCAATAATGCAAAGTAGAAAAACTACATAATAAAAGTAGACAAATTAATATTATAAATTAGATACATTTTATAATAGTATAAAAACTATTTGGGTAAAGTAGAAAAATGTTTACAAACTAATACTACAACTTATACAAATCAAATCATATAAGTGAACAAATTAATATTACAAAATATATAAATTACAGTATATAGAAATTTCTCAGTTAAAATACTAAATTTGAAATATTAAGTGGCACGTATCTCTTTCAAAGCACTATTATGTTGTATCTCTTTCAAAGCACTATTGTGTTGCCAAGTTAATATTACTAATCACATGTTTTCAGTAAAAAAAAGTCAATATTACTAACAAAACTAGTAATGGAAAGTTAATGTTTGCCTAGTAGTAATGTGCAACCACCAATGAAAAAAAGAGAAAAGTTAATATTTCATTAAAATTGTGTATTTGAAAGGTTTATCTAATAATTTGAAAATTTTGGGTAATCAATTATAAAAAATTAATCTTTTCCATATTAATTCAAATTATAAAATTTTAAACAACTTTTCTATTCCCGCCTCTAAACATCATCAGTATTATCTCACCTTAATCCCTAATTTTACCGCCACCGTCTTGGCCCGCACGAAGAACACATGGCAGGTAATTAGGTAAATGGTGATTGGTTAAGTGTTGCGGCGGCGGACGATTTCCCAGCGAGGGCGAGGAACGGAATCGACCGGCCCTGCGTCATTAACGGCAACATCTCTTTTTTCATTAATTTTCACGGAAAGTTAAAAAAAGCTTCTGGGGATTTTGAGGGTGGTGGGAAATAAAAGATTGAACCAATGTGACTCCTCCCGATTTCAAATTCGGTGGTTATATGGAGGAAACACAGATTGAGGAAGTTACATGAAGTTATTTTGGCTGCCCAAGCCCAACATTACGAAATCGTGGGATCAACAAATCATAGAAACTGATGACGCCACTGATTTTCATTGATTGCATGGACATGGAAGACGAGGACAAAGATGAAGAAGGAATGAGCAAGAAGGAAGAACGTGAAACCATATCCAATTTGTACAACCTCCTCCGCCTCCCTCCGCCTCTTCAGGTACGCTGCCACCACTTCCTTCTCTCTCTCAGCATTCTTAAACAAACAAGAATGAACGAATCACCGTTCTCCCTTTTGGGTGGTCGTTTATGTTTGACAGTTGGATTTGGATGGAAGAACAAGACAGGTATTGAAGAATATCCTCGACAGTGCTTATCATCACAACCTCTCTTGCAACGAGGTATCGAACCCTTCACCACGCAACACGCTGCTCTGCAGTCTACACCCTGATCCCGCCACTACTAAGCAGCAGCAGCAGCAACTGGTTTCAGACATGTCCAGACTCGCTGTCTCCTCCTCACATTCGGACTACCCTCCACCCCGGATTAAACGATGTCGTCTCTGCTCTATCCAAGCCAGCAACCCCATGCCATCATCAGCAACAACTGCCAGCCAACCGCGGCTGCAGAAACCTAGCCAGGTTACTCCATCGTCTCAACCTACCGGTTCGAATCTGTGTTACTCGACCGAAGGTTATGTTGATGGGTTTGGAAGACCAGGACAACAACAACAACAACAACAACACAATTGCTGTTGTCAAGATTGTAGAGTACAAGCAAGTAGTATTGTTGAACTACGCAGGGGTGCTGACTTGGCCATGCCAGCGGTGAGTGACACAAGGCAGGAAGTTGAGACTAATGATCGTCGACAAACAATTCGGAAACGAATGTTGGAGGAACCCAAGCCGCCAGCACGAGGAGTTGAATCTTCTTCACAGGGATTCCAGGATGAGAATGTTGTTCATCTGAGGGACACCATGAATGGGAGAAATGTCTCAGGAAGGCTACTAGTGAAACAGAATACAAAATCTCGACCGTTGGAGGAATGTCAGTATGTTGATGGTTTAACCGCTCCGAGGATGGATGGTATCACCAAAATTCCAACCATGAAAGCAGCAAAGGAGACCAATGAGAAGCAGATGCCCAACCCAAATGATCATAGTCTGGCCAAGGCACAGAGTCGCAAGAAACATCTCAAGGATTCGACAGCCATAAGGCCTGCAATGATTGACTATCATACTCCATCTTCAAGGAAGGCCCAAGACCATCTTCACGGCAGGAGCAGGACTTTCAATACAAAATCTCAGCAGCAGGACAATGACTCACAGGAGGAATGGAGCTCAAGTGCGAGATCGTGTTCTTACACTCCCTCTTCTTCTTTTACTTCCTATGATTGGACAAGTCGACAACAGATAAGCACTGAGAGCAACAGCAGTAGCAACAGTGAGAACTTTTCATGCTCCGATTACAACACTAGGGAGAGTGCATCACAAATCAGTAGTACAGGTGAGGAGAGTAACAGTGGCTCTTCCTATGCTTCGTCCAGTTACCAAGATACAGATGGTCGAGATGAAGACAGCTGCAGCAGAAGCACGAGATACAGAAGATCACGTCGTGAGAGAGCAGTTGGACGGTTTAAGAGGTTCAAGGATAAGCTGGCGCTCATCTTTCACCACCATCATCATCACCATCACCACCATCATCACCATCATGATAACCGAAAACAAAGCAAAAGTGGGAACAAAGCAACAACTTGGAAGCCTCTGAGGGACATGTTTCACCATGAGGGCAAGCCCAAGTTGTATGCAGAAAAAGCTGTGGTGAAAAAACATGGGAACTTGGTTGAAAAGAATCAGGGGCAGCATTGTAATACACTGGTGCAGGGTTTAATGCATCATGTCAAGAATTCAAAGAAATCCAAAACCTTACAAACTTCTGAATTAGGAAGAAAGCGAATGTTAAGGAAACAAGGAGGAATTAAACTACCATATCGAAGGCCAGTCAGAGTGGGGTTCAAGGGGATGAAGCCACAACTGAAAGGGAGCTGAAATATGAAGTTTTAATTTCTTTGCGCTGCAACACTCGTGGGTAGGAATTAGTTCATTGAGTTGTGACTATAGCTTAAAGCAAAATTAAGTCCTTTGGTTGTTGTGTAGCCATTGAGTTTTTTTCATAGATGATAGACAGTTAATGTACAATAAGCAACCAAACGTGGCAGTCGACGAATAGTCAAACTGTTGATGATAGGGGCTTAGTAATCACTAAATGAGCAGCCCTGTAATACCTGTGTGGAGTATCTATTAGTTATTTAGTTTGTCTTTTGCATTAATTAATTTTTTCATATATCATCTATTAGATATTAGAAGTGTGTTTGTATGAGACAAGAGAGAAGAGAGAAGAGGGAGATGCACCTTTCTCAGGCTCCCCAATCAATGTCCAAGTCTTTCAATTTGGTGAGCCATTTCTGTGTGTTTTGAGATACATCAGCTTTTGTGGAAGAGATTTTGTCCTCCACTTCTGCACTGCTCAATGGCCACTGGTCAAACTTTTTCTCTCTGACAAGATTTAGCTGTCTAGTGGGATGCCGCACCTTAAGTGCCAAGAGCCGAGAAACCTCATGAAGCCCTCCCCATTTCTCCAATGCACGAGCTATATCATAACGACCTGTCATAAATTGCCATGAAGGATAAAGTTAGATGATTTATCACTTCAAGCAATAAAGTTATGCGACTACTAAAGAGTTTATAACCTGCACGCTCAAAAGATGTTCGGCTCGGCATAAAAGAAGGGTCCATTCCCCAACTCCTCTGAAATCGCTTAATCTGCGAAAATGAAATGGGGATAATAACAGTCATGTTAAACAAATAATCTTCTTTCTAGGTGCCCTGCATTCAAATCATTACCTCTTCCTGCAAATTCTCGAGGCTGTCCCAGTAACCTTTGGGTTTTCTGTGCTTGTAAGCAAGAGACAGATTCATTAATGATGCTATTCTTCTGAATCCACCCATGCGTGTTATTGCCTTCTCTATATCCACCCTGCCATGAAGTCGTAGTTGTTTTCTCATGGGCATGAACCCTTCCTGCCCATGTTCTGATACAAACTTCAGGAGTTCTGATTTGAGAATTTCAATGTCTCTTTGCAAGCCTGGAACCCTGGGCCTTTGTCTTGAAGAAACTGCATTACCAGAATCTGAGACTTGTTGCTCTTCCACTGGAGTGTGATTGCTGCTGGACGGTTCATGCTCAGAGTACTTGATCAAATCATCTGGTTCCAAGGAATTCACAGCTTGCATTTTCTCAACATAGTCTCGAATTGCACACAAGTTTGATGGTAGGTCTTCGTATATAACCTACAATAACAAAATATTGATGTTTCAACATCCGGATTAGTGGACAAAATTAAGAACAAGAACTAAATATATGGTGCTTAGGGCTTGGCACTGTGCAACTGCTCCAGATATCTAACAGAAACTAAAGTTGGTAAACATTAATAGGATAGAGGAGTTTGCTAAACACAAAGACATTACCTCAAATGCAACAATGAGACAAATTAATGCTGGCACTGCATTGCACATAACCTGATCATAATAATGGGACGGAGCTACTAGCAATTCTGAAGTTTGTGATTATCTTAAAATGTACTATTGGTTTGGTGAGCCGTGGAGATTATGTTGACTCTCAAGTTAAATATAAGTGAGAAAAAGAAAGGTAATTCTGCATCCTGACCAATCAAGCTTCTTGACAGCCAATCCTCCACTGATTCCAGTTCTTTTCAAATCCAAAGAGAGTACATTGATGGAAGATCTGTAAATAACTAAATATGATGTATAGGAATGGAGTTGAGATACCTCTTCCATTATAGCCTCTGAGAGAAAGGTGTCCTTATGCATTTTGGATTCAACAACATATTTGAGCAATGTATGATGACTTCCCAACTGCTCTAGAACCCACTTCCCATGAAATGAGTCAAAGTCGCCATCTACTTGCACAAAACTGATCTCCCTTTCATGTAGCTCACTTAAATCCAAAACAACGCGTGCATGGAGTACCATATAGAGTAGACCCTTGCAACCTTCCTGAAGGAAGAAAAAGTACAGAATCATACAAACTAGAATAATTAATTGTTAGTTCGAATGTCTCTAAATCATGAACATGTGTGCATACTAAACTTGAGTTTGCAGCAATTGTGGCCTGTGGGCAAAGCGTTCTGAAATTGGTTCAAGTACTTCATGATCACATTGATCAGTAATTGAATCACAGAAGTGATCGACAAGGACAAACTTAGGAGACATTACATTCATAGCAAGGAAAAGCGCACTGCCATTCTACTCCAAGAACCATTATTTTGAGCAAGAAGCATCAGATAGATTGTACCTGAAGGATGCGAACTTTGTTGTTTTCACGTGATAAAATCTTGCTGATTGCCAAGTTTGGAACAACCCTACAAAGAGTTCACAATGCCAGAGATTAAGGAACTAGGGTAACAAATAATTTCTTCATGCATGGTATCCGTAGAGTGAAACAAAGGAGCTGTACTAGACTTACTCAGGAAGACTCTCATAAGCAGTCAAAACATTCCAAACTTCTCGAAGAGGAGATTTAACGGTTATACTGGCGATAACCCCACGATGAACCCCACCATTTTCCTGAAAGAAAACCATGACATTGAGTAAGCACAACCCCACAAAGTAAATAAGGTCTCCTTAAACATAGTAGAAATGGTGATTGGCAGAGAGTGAATCAAGTTACCAATAGTCCATCAAATCTTCTCAAATGAACTTCATCCACAAGGCAACGCTTTTCAAGACTGCACGCTTTACCGAAAATACCCCAATTACAACTGATATCGCCTGCGGAGGCTGGCACAGGACTAGGATTTGCAGTGTTGTAGGTCTCTTCTACATCTCTAGGCCCGGATGTAGATCTTGACAATTCATCAGTTTTGGTTTTGTGATTGCCCATCGCCATAACTTGGTTTTCAGCACGGCAAGCCAAGGCCTGGAGGTTAACAGGAAGATCCGACCTAATGATCCTTTCCAAGAAGATGGCAGGAAAGTTGAATCTTGGTATCACACTAACTTCATAAGCTAACACAGTGGTTCCAGGCCTGTGGTAATTCAGAGCACATCATCACCATGTAGATGGTAAATAACAAAGCAAGTCTGTTCGATTAGGGGGATTATGCTGGATTACCTTGTGCCACAGTTGAGGGACCATTTGCCTTCGAACTTCTTGAAGTCCCCATCCACCATGGAAAAGTGCAGCTCGTGCCTGTCCGCCTGAATCCAAACGTATCAGTTAGCTTTACTGAATTCTTTCTTCTCTAATGGAATGTAATGCACAGTGAGGGGAGATAAGAGTTTACAGAAATGGGGAATTCTTGGAGATCCAGCACAACACGAGCTTCAATGTGCCAATAAAGAGCTCTCTGTAGTCCTCTCTGCTCCAGCCATATCCGGCCTGGATGCGGACACGGGATTCTTCCACTGAATTAAAAATAACGAATGATTCATTCATCCATGACGCCAGGAGATTCTCAGTTCCAGGAGAAAGAAGTGTTAGTGTAGGTATAACCTGGAGAGGAGGTTGGGGATGTAATCGGCGAGGCGTTCGTAATCAGTGAGAGCTGTCCAAATCGATTGAATGTCGGAATTCACCAGAATCTGAGCCCTAATCCTCCGTTCCCGCCAAGAAATCACTTCCACCTCGCAAACAACTCTCCTCTGCCTCCTCCTCGCCTCTCCACCGCCGCCGACTTTTTCTCGCCGCCGTTGCTGCTGCGGCTGATCTTCATCGTTTTCGTTCTTGACGACAACTCCGCCGTCGCAATCGACGTCACCTCCGGAGTTACTATTCCATTTCTTTGCTGATCTAGAAGAGAAACACACAGCGGCATTGCTGCTGCTGCTACTACTGTTCAGCGAAAATGCGGTCTTCCCAAGGAAGCTGTAACTCAGAGATTGGCTGCAACAGCAGGTAGACGAAGTGGAAGAGAGTGATGAAGTGATCGGAAAGTCTATCATCATACGTCCGGTGGCCATGGCCAATTGCTTCGTATCGTTTCCGGTCTGTCCACTCTCCTGCGTTTTCTCTTCTATCCATTTAGTGCGATGATATTTTACTTTCCATTTTTTTTTTAAATTACCGTTATTTGGTGTCCACTAGTTTCGTTGGTCTTATCGTTTAGTGAATGGCTGGTTCAAAAGCACAGATCAGGAAATTCCCGCCCACACTCACTTGGCGACTCCCACTCGCCCACTCCTCGGCTCCTCCAGTTCCTCCTCCCTCACACACCCCGGACCCGGAGTAAGAGACACTATTAGGATTCACAATTATCTATTTCTTTCTTATTTATTCTTAAAAAAATAATACACACAAGAATTTATAATAAATTATTTGTTTCTCATTTATTTCTAAAAAAAATAATACATACTAGGATTCCAACCATAGTCATTTTCAACAATGACAATAATCTTGCACAATCAAACTATATAGATTAGTTGTAACATTTTAAATAAAAAACATACATGAAGCTAAACTTAAAAAATCAAAGAAATTTTCAACAGTTAGTTAAGGTAACTAAATTTTCGCTCGAAATTTATTGGTATCTTGATACTTAGATTTTCATATTTAATTATTCTTTGATAATTAATTTATATTTATAAGATAAACAGAGGATAACTTTAAAATCATATGCCAAATATCTTTGATTCTATATTACATATCGTATTTGTATAAGCGATGTTGAACTCTTACATTAGTATTAGTTTATATAAGGGTAATGTCTATTTTTTATCCAAATCTTTTTTCAGATTCTTTTATATTGTCCAAACCTATTAAAATGCTAATCTTTCGTAATGCATCAAAATATTAGCCTTTTTTATGTTATCGTTAATAATTTTGTAACTCTTTTCTTAGTTAAAATACTAAATTTTGCAATGTTGACCTTCATATTTCTCTTCCAAGTTAGTATCATGTTGCTAAGTCAATATTACTAACAAACTTGCTAACTGAAAGTTAACATTTGGCTAATTCTTAGTATTTCAATAGGTTTGGATAGTATAAAAGAATCTGGAAAAAAAAGTTTGGATAAAAAATAGACATTACCCTTTACGAGATCTCGGAAGTTGTTGAAGATTGGATGAGCGATAAAAAAAGCTTCATACTTCCGAAGATTCACCACCAATTTGTGAATTGGGACTGTAAAAAAAGCTTCATACTTCCAAAGATTCACCACCAATTCGTGAATTGGGACTGTGAAATAGATTATCAAATCATGGGTTTGGGGCTAAATAAAAGGATAGGACTTAGGACTTAGGAGGTTAGTTAGGTGACCCGATTATATAGAATTTGCCAATTTGGTACATCTACATGAGATTTCCAACGTTAGCTTAGGAAACAAAGAATCGAAGGGGAAGAAGAAGATATAGACTCTTTTATTAACAACTAATTGAGTGCATGGGGTGGATAACTATACATTCACTTCTCTTTTCCTTTTTAAAAAATAAAATAGAAAACTAAAAAAGTCTCGTAACCTTTGGCGGGTTTATATTCAACTTTTGAAGTCTGTTCTTTTTTGGGTCTAATAAGATTATTTAAAGCTATTATCCTACTAAAGTGATTTTATTTTTATTTTTTTGCCGCATTGTTGTAATATTTTGACCAAAACATGTTAGTAAGTTAAATTATAAATTCACGCTCTTCAGCCGAACTCAAATTATAATTTTCGAAGAATATACGCTCTTATACTTCCGTTCTAGCTCCCGCTCTGCGAATTGGTAAGCTAAATCCATCGAGTCAATTCTATAGACAAAGAGACTACTGACAGAACTTGTAACACCCCGATCTTTGGGTCCAGGGTCGATCATAAGAAATGAACAGTTGAATCAACGGTTACTTACGAAGAGGTGCAATCGTGAATTAGAAATAATAATAATAACATTATTGTTATTATTATTATTATTATTAAAGTGATCATCATCCGTGTATCCAAACAAAAATGGGGAAAAGTAAAGGAAAAAAAATGATTAAATCCTCATTTAGTACTTAGAAACGTTACCTTTCCCTCCCCTCATTATTTTGGTCCATTTCATTGGAACAACAGCAGCCCAAACGTCTCTCTCTCCCTGCCCTTAGTAACGCTACAAACCTGCAGAGACAAAGAACCAAGCGATCACCTCAACTCACCTCTTCTCTCTCGGATTCTCTCCACAAGCCGGGACAAGCACCGCAGCTATCTCCAGCAACGCATCTCGCCACCCTAGCAGAAGCAAAAAAAATTACTGGCCAAGTCGCACATCACCTCTAGACGACCACGACTAGGGCTCTCTCGCGGACGCACTGTGGAGTCGACGGCGACGCATTAGAGGTTCACCGGAAAGTACCTGTCCAGCACCGGCGTACTCGACCTCAACAAAGCTTCAAAAGCAGGGTATCATCTCGTAGAGGGCAATCTATGGAGCACTCCGGTTTCGACGAAATCTAATTTCGACGTCGGACGAGGAAGATACGAGCCTCGAGAGCTTGGAACGTGAATCGGATAGTTCAGGTACCGAATCTGTCTATTCGAACATTATAAGGACCTAGAGAGTAATTTTACTTCAGTCTGGGGAAAAATGTCCTTGTTAGTCCTCATATTTTCGGTACGAACAACTTAGTCCCCTGTGTTTTAAAACATTTGCAAATGGACGAAAACAGTATTTTCTCACAAAATTGTATTATTATTTTTGTTGTGTACAGTGGTTATTTTCAAAGGATGATAATTTTATAAATAAGATAAAACTAGTAAGAGCCTGGGATATTAATTCGAGAATTTTTGGATTTAAGTTTCAAATTATAAAAATTATTAGGAAGACAGATTTAGTTAAATAAAATAGTGTATGAACGTTTTTTCTGGCTTTGATAATTTTATTCGAAGACTTATACTTGAATGGTTGTCCAGGAATTGTTGGGTGATTTTCCAAGTTGATTTGATAATTACCAGAATTTATGTGATATTTGTTTTAATTAATTTAATTATTGTATGTATATATTATATGACTTTGTTAATTTTGTGCGAGACTAGAATATTGAATTTGTGTAGGGGAATCAAGAACCAGAAATTTAGACATTTGTAGCATAGGTTTAAAAAAAATATTTATTGAATAAGGAGGGGTAATTAAGATATAAATTATAGTTAATGATTTTTGGTTTATGTTTTAAATTATTAGAAGACAGAAATTGTAGTTTGAGGGGTCAGGGATTTTTTTGGAAAGTTCATGAGAATTTTTATGAGATTTATGCAAAGGATTATTTAATTAGTTAGGATGAGTTAAAGTTTTTTTTTTAAAAGAATTATGGGACTAAGCGAGGAGAATGGAAAATTTTGCGGAATAGCGACTAAAGGAAATTTAATCTCGATTTATAGGATCAAGGAGGTGATCAAATTAAGGGACACCACGTGAAAGCAAGTAAAGTACCGACACTTGAGAGGTGAGTGTAAAGGGGGTAAAATCTCCGTCGAGGTCTTTTAGTTTATGCCTTTTTAATTCAGTTATGTTATTTAATTTTCAAGTAAGCGCGATTATGTGTGTGAGGCATCCCACCGCCTACTTAAGGTGGAGGCACGCGTTGTGCTATGTATGTGTGCTTGTGATGTATGGTTGATGGTATGAGGAACCCCCGGGCGGTTGGGCCACTACTGGACGCGGTAGATGGTCGGGTCACTACTGGACGGCGATACGTAACGCAGTAGTTGACCGGGCATGGACTGGACGGCGATACGTAACGCAGTACCATTGCCTTGAGGATAGGGACACCGGACGGCGATACGTAACGCGGTGAACCCTAGTAATAAGTATATAAATTAAGATAGAAGTACAGAACTTCTATAAGCTAACAGGGACTAAAATATTAAGGATGAAAGCGAGAACGGCTTTCATGTAAGAGGAAGTAATTTCTAATAATGTGTTAATAGGGTTTGCTTAGGCAAAGACCTTAGGAAGTAACGACGAGACTGACCCCTTCTCACTCACCAGGTGTGGAAAGGGGAAGAGGACATAACCAGCACCAGGAGGTTAATCAAGGAGGGCAGCCGCGTCAAGCTTGAAGATGTCGGAAGGATCAGGGTATTGAGATGGGACCCTTTTTTTTATCATATTTGTCTTTATTTCTTGTCCTATGAGTATACTGGGAAACACAGGTTTTCTGTTCAAATATTTGGATCGAGATTTGCCCCAAATGTTTAGGGCTTTTCGTTTGAGATTTTTGGTTATTGTCGTTGGTTAATTTTTGGTTTGACTTAAAAATATGGTTTGGGTTGCTCCGGGGTAACCGGTTTTTGTTTTAAAGTTTGGTTTGATTCGTCCAAAAAGATCGGGTTGTTTCAGAACTAACCTTCCATCACATATTGTCTTCCCTCGCAAACACCCCACGCTCAATTCCCACTTGGCCGTTCCTCATTAATTCCACATCTGGCACACACCGATGTAATAGGAGTGCGACCTTCATTGCGAATACATGTTGTTGGAGTGCTTTTTAGGAGCTCAAAGGAGGATAGCGAAAAGTAGCAGATAGAGAAACACATGTAGATAGTCTAGGCGAGGAAGAATATTATCCATATGTAGATGAGATTTTATATAATTGATAAATATATGAGTAATATAATGACTTTTTCATATATCCTGGCAAAAGCGGACTAAAATGATTGGACCATTAACCCTCAACCCACTTAATCGACTAAGCCAACTGGCTAAACCGGGTTGACAACCTTTTGATACTTTGAAATTCAGATATTCTAAAACTTTTGGGTTCAAATTTTCATGATTGAGTCAAATCGATCAATAATTGAGGACTTTCAGAGAGTGGTTGAAATTCAAAAGTTGGTCTTCAAGGTTCTTTCGTGACAAACAAGTTTTTGCGTTTAATTATTGTTGGGTCAAAGGAAGAGAAAGCAGAACAGATGGTGAATGTGATTGTGGCAACTAATTATTGAGAGTTGTGGATGGAAAAGATAAGCCATAAAAATGGGGTAAATTTAATTTGATAATACGTAATCTATATATTACGAGGGGATGTTTGATGTGAAAAATAGTAGAGAGATAGATTTGAGAAAAATGAATAATAGAGTGGCAATTTATGCTATTAACTTCACATGAAAAGTCAAAGATCTTTTTTTTTACAGTCAGTCAAAGATCGTATTGGTCGAGTAGAATTTAAAGTTTTATAATGTTTGGATTTTCTTAACTTTTGTACTTGCATTAGTATCTAACACTTAACAGCCCCCACTTATTATTCAAGCAAGCCTATACACTAAATTATAATAATTTATACAATAAACATTATTTTTTCGTGTTCTTTCATATTTGAGAATTCTAGGCATAATTTTTGACTATCTTGATTTTTTTTATATACCTTCAATTCCTACCAATTCTAGATGACATATATTTTCTTCCAACTCCAAATTCATATCCGACAAATAAAAAAGTCGACAAGTTTCTTATAAGATATGAAAAAAATACACAATAGTAAACTAGGATGACTTTATTAAAAAATATATATCTTAACTAATTATCGCTAATGTCATAATCAATAAATACCATAAAAATTACTTTGAAATAATAAATTAATTTTTTTTGAAAATATCAAATTATTTAAAATATAAAAAAATTGATCAACATAAAATAAAATAATATTCAACTGACCAATAGGTTAGATAAAAGCTAGTGAAAAAAGATAGTAGATACAACTTTGATTCGCTCGTCTTTGAACGGATTTTTCATACATATTTGATGTAGATGTTTTTTTTAACCTTTTTTTAATGATCTAGATGAAATTTTTAAAAATTATTTTTCATACACAGTATTATAACTTTGTAGCACTAGCATGTAGTTTATATTAACTAGATTTGGACTCAGCCAGTTGGCCGATGAGTCATATTTTGTCATTGTTTTAATTATTTTAAATGATAGACTTTGACTATGGACTACCAAACAGAAAATACGAACAAACAAAAACATAATATGAACATGAACGGAAAAACGAATACATATGACTAGAAAAAAGTCTTTAAACCAAACACACAAACAAAAATTGATAAAAGACTCAAAACATAAATAATACAAAAGAAAGAACACATACCATACTCCCTATCCGAAAGATCGTGAGAGTCCCTGGCAAGGGTGCCAAAATTGACTAGCTATAGAACAATAGTCTAATTTACCTAGTTGGTAACCATGATTGTATTCCTCCCGCCCTCTCACATATCCTTACTCAGTCACTAAGTGACCTATTGTTGGGTTTTAAAACAAGTTGTAGAGGTTGAGGTGCATAAGGGATTCCCCTTGGTTTGGGTGGAAAACAAAAGGAAAAAGTCTAAACTACTATACTAGATGAGGGAAAAATAGAAGAAAAAGTGTTGCATAGGCAAAATCCCCCTAGACTTTCCTTTGACTCGCTTCAATAAGATAACTGACATATACATACGTGGTTAAGGGAATCCACAATGAACTTTTTCACTCAATGTGCTTCTATATCATATCATTCTCTTACTGAGATCCTCTAGTGGGTTGCGTGCTAGGGAGACACACGGGTCAATCAACAATACGGGTTGAATAAGTCACGTAGCAAAACAGTTGTTGCGAAGACTTGTATTGAATATGAGATTCCCAAAGACATTAAAAATGGAGGCCATACAGTAAAATGGCGCTTAAGGCTCCGTTTATGCTACAATTCTACCTTCGATCCCGTTGTTCACTTTTGGACTACTGAGGTACTGTGTCGGCAGAGTAACCCACTGTATGACCTAATGCGCGAATGATGATTGAGAGGGTATATTTATAGCCTCTTTCACAAGGTTTTATGAGAGATAAAGTAGGAGTGAAAGTCTTCTGACCAAATCTCTCTAATATATCTCCACCTTAGCCACTAAGTAAGGTATATCCGCACAATTCCGCGATGATTTGGGTCCTTTGAGAAACACTGCCTAGGGTGCCACTTTGGGCTATCATCGACTAAATCTAGCATCATTTTGGGTTTGAGCTCAAATCTTCGTTTCTAACTCCCCATAGTTGGGTCTTGATGTCTCTCACTCGTACAAGGTGGTCCACTAGGATACTTTGGCATGAAAACAAATAAGATACTAATCAAAGGGCATCAAAATAGTAAAAATAATCATACGAGCTACTAAATACACCTTGGAGCAATTATCAAGTAATTCCAAATTTTTATGACAATAAAGATATTAAAACTATGCAAAATATGTTATTAAATAGCCTAAAATATTATAATTTGCGTGTCATCACATCCCGGTGAATGGAATTGAGACCTTTGAATAATTAGACGTAATGGAAACTCAACATTTTCTCTAGGTATTTACTATAGAGTGGTGCATTTTGTGTATTATAGAACTAATAATAATATTCATTGCATTAAGAGTGGTGCTGCTCAAACGAAAATAGAGGTTACATTTTGTGTATGCTCGTGAAACAAGAACAACACATGACAATAAAAGTGTGACCATGGTTGGTGATTGTGATTTAGAGAATAGATAAGTAAGTATGTTGTAAGTTGTAACTCCCCTTCCAGCTTTGAATCATGGCTTGTAGTCTGAGCCCTGAGTCCGAGCCCGTCACTGATTTAAAGTTGCATACATTAAGTAAATGTTTAAATCGAAAAGGTATCTTAATATTTGAACTATTTGTTGTACTAGGTATTCTTAGTTCATGTTGACTAATATGGAGATTGTTAGAAATAGTCTCCAGGGTGAGAAATAACACAATAAAAGGAGTGTAAAGTGTAAATGTGTTTATAAAAATAGCTCATTCTCACTCTATTCTATTGATTGAGTGGTTGGTGAATTTTTATAAAACGTATATGCAGTTTAATAATAAATATTAAATAGCACCAATATAAGGAACTTTACTCTCAATCACGGGATTTCCCGTGATGAAATGCTCATATTTGGATTTGACAAAGGCGTGACGATTGACAAATCTCGCAAGAGGTTGAAGAGCTACGTCGGAGCTCGCAACACCCATCTTACAGTCGTAACTACATGATAGCCGCTCCAAAAAGAAAGAAAAAATTTGGAGAGATATTCACATCTTCAATCATATTTGTATTCATGATCTACCAAGTCACAAACTGAGACAAATGAGTCATTTGATCCACCGCAAGAAACTTATCATTCGCCCTTCAAAAATAATTTGAACAAATAACCAACTTACGTGGGGTTATCAAAGTATAATAGGTTGTGGAAGTTGAGCTAATACCATCAATGACATCATATGCTTTGAGCTGAAATGACGACTAAACCAATCTGAAGGGCCAAAACCTTATGAAACAAGATTGGTTAAAAATGGACAGGTAAACAACTACAAGACATGAGTAAGAAACTAGAAAAGGAAGTGTAAGGAATAATTAAAAGTGAAGATCAAGCAAGGCAACTGTATTCATTGACATGTGTACATATAATAGCACTGCTATGCTTTGTGATGATGACGTATGATGTAAGCTCATGAACATAAAAATGGGGAAAAAAAGAAAAGCAATAAAAAATCATGGCTAACAAATCGTGTATACTGTAAGATCATCAACATGAACGATCATTATCTGCACATCCTCCTGATCACGATTTGGCGCACTGGGTCGGAGTGAAAGACAAGCTCTCCTTGGCCAAATCATAGAGCACCATGAAATTCTGCTGCTGAATATTCCCAAAAATCGACATCCCGCTCGAGCTCCCCATCGCCAAGCAGACCAGCCCGACGCTGGAATCCGCAATCATGTAATTCTCCGCGGGGAGCTCCAAATCCGCCCCTTTGAAATGAAACACCAGGGTCGGCACCTTGATGTCGCCCGACCCGCCGCCCGACGGCAGATCGAAGCAGAGGTCCAGACCGGTCGAACCGGAATTGTCGACCGGCAGATCGATCGCGGCCTTGAACGCCTTCTTCACCTCGTCGAACGCGCTACGCTCCAGGTACGTGATCGTGGTCCCGGAATCGATGATCATCCCTCCGCTTCCGTCGCTCTGCAGCGCGAAAGTGGACGCCGGGATGGACAGACCGGTCCCGCCGACCGAGATCCCTTCCAAGGAAATGTAGTAAAACGAGGACTGAGCCGAGTTCTGAATCAAACCGGTCGTGGCCGAGGAGTTACCCGCCGGTCCAGCCAGCGAGCCCATGGACAGCGTGCTGGTGGCCCCCGCGGCATCGTCGATGGACGTCAGGCAGTACGAAAACTTGGGCTGCTTGAGCTGGGAGACGAGTGAGAGTGGGCCGCGGCCCAGCCCGACGAGCCCACCTCCCTGAGTAAACCCGTCCCCTTCGTTATCCTCCCCGCACCCGAACCCGACTTTCGGAACCTTTACTTTGTTCCCGCCGAAGGTAAACGTCTCTGTGGCCATGACCCCCTGCGTCGACGAGTAATCTCCATAGGTGTAGAGGTAATCGCAGCCGTCGGATCCGCACGATGACTGCGGCAGGGCGGAACAGAGGGTGCTGGAGCAGGGGAGCTTCGCGAATGTCGAGGATTTCGACGGGTCGAAAATCGGGGTGGGCTGCTTGTAGCAGTTGGTGCAGGGGTCGCACTGCGTCCATATCAGGTCGCTTCCCGTATCCACGATCGCGGAGTAGGACACGGGAGGCGTCCCGACGGCGAGTTCCATTAGGAACTCGCCGTTTCCCGACACGACCGGAGCAGCCACGTCGGCTGCCTCGGGAGTGGATTGGGCCAGGACCATTGCGGTGAGCTTCTGGAGCCTGTAGTTCCCCCGATTGATCCCGCGCTGGAGCCGCTGGAACTTGGTGAGGTTCTTGCCGGAGTCGACGTGGGTCAGGGCGACCTGGAAGCCGCCGGCGGCGGTGGTGGTGGTTGGGTCGAGCTGGGTGAGCCGCCTGGAAGTTGAGGCTGCCGGTGTGGATAGTAACAACGCGGCTGCTAGCAGAAGCAGCGGGAGGAAACTCGTGAGAGCAGCCATTGATGGGTTTTTTCTGATTAATGTTGTGGGCTGGGAATGGAGATGTGGGTATTTATGTACATGGAAGCAATTAAGGAAACTACATAGATTGGGGGAGTTTAATATTGGACTGGATTGAAGTAGGCAAACTATATAATGAAGATATATGTGGGTGTAATATTTTATGTAATATAGAAAATGGGGGGATGAAACAGGAGAAAGGGAAAAGCCAACTAACTAGCTTTGGAGGGATAATGTGTGTGTTTCTGTTGTAGTGTGTGAGAGGTGGATATATAGAGAAGGAAAGGGGATTGGGATGATGGGAGGTTGGAGTCGCGAGGAAAATGAAGGGATAGGGGGGGAAGATCTCATAATTAGTACTTTTCTTTTGTTTTGATTGTTTGTAATGGCGTCTTGGTTTTATATACTTCATGAGTCAAATGATGAAAGAGGTGTTTGTGTGAATGAATTTGGCGTCTAAAATTTGTGCTAATGATGATAGAGTTGGGTCAATGAGATAAGGTTTCAATTATCAAAAGGGTCCAACAAATTTGATGCGTCAGAAAATATTCTTGTTTGTTTTCTATTTTGCTAATTAAGTTGTAGTAGTCGAGTCGAATTATAGTGCTTTTTATAATGTTGTTGTTTAAAAGAGAGTGAAAATCCACATGGAGTTCACGAACATAAATTCAACAAGTTAAGACTATAACGTTGTTGTCATACCACTAGAAATGTGTTTTTATTTTAGACAACTTTCCCTCTTCTTTTTAGCAGGAAAAAAGTGCTCATTACTTTCGTAGTTTAATTGAATTTGTTGTAGAATTGTGCGATCAAAATTAATTGTCGCGTCATTTGATAATTTAACAATTAAAGACTCGCTTTGTCATTACTTATTAACCCTTTCTGGTTCCTCAACTTATTATTGATTCTTGTAGTGTTTCAAACAATTAATGAAATAATATAGGTCTATTCCATAAAAAAAGTGAGAACCAATTGAAATACCATTCTATTTAGTGGTACTACAGTAACGTAACATGAAAGTTAAGATTATACTAGGTAGCGATGCCGCGCCTTGTCGCGGACGGAGATGACCTATGAGCATGTATTATGTGTCCCGTTATGATGTTTTGTTAGTATTATTAGCGTAAAAATAATTTTTTGTTAGCAGTTTTGTTAGTAATATTGTCTTGACCATATGATATTGACTGAGAAGAGAAATATGACGGTCAACATCCAATTTAAAATTTTTTGGCTTGTAAATGATATTTACCTAAACCCAAGTAGACCCATTAATTATATGTAAGTAATGGGTGACGTATATATGGGTTTGGAAGTTTGTAGATGGGTTTGGGTAGGGTTTGGATATTTACTTTGATAATCTAAATGTGTATGAATTGGGTATGGATACCCATTTATTCAAGAGCGTTTAATTAACATACAAAATTTAAACCTATTCGTAGAACTTTAAAAGTTTAGGTACCAAAATGTAACACAAAAAATTAGGTACTAAAATGATGTTTCATCAACATTTTGAGGACTTATATGCAAAAAAAGAAAATCGGTTATAAATCTAAAGATCTATGAAGTTTAGTTACAGAACTGTGATTTGCATAGTTGAGGTTTAATTCATTTTATGGTGATGTATTTAAGATGATAGTCATTTACTTTTTTATATAGAAAAATAAAACTATTTATTTGATATGTATAGATACCTAGACAAACATTACATGTATACTTGTTGAAAATTCTAGCCCGGCTGGAAAAGAAAAACTATATAGAGAAGCAAAACGAATACAAACCGGAACTCGCTCAATATTTCACGCCCTCAAATCTCATAGTGAAAAATGACGACTTTCTAATAAATAATAACCATATTTATTTATTTATTAGTTGAATGGACATTAAGCTGAAAAAGTTAATGGTTCAATTATTAGTTCTCTAGACTGTTGGTGAGTCGCGTATGGACCCGTTTATAATTGTGATTAGAATACATAAAAATAGTATACTAATTAGGGTTAGACGAAGATGGCAAAGAAAGAAATAAAGAAAGGGTTATGGAGGGCGAGTGAAAAATGAAACGAAGAAAAAGTAGATGATAGAAAGGTTTTGACAATTTCATTTAGTTGAACGTCAATATATACAACAATCAACCCCTTTCACCGTAGCAATTTATTGACACTTGCTTATGTAGATGTGGCATATTTTGTTACATGTAGTTAATAGAAGTTTGTTTAGTACCCCGTAAATGTACTAAATGATTTTATAAATTTGCTCTTTTAATGTTTTAGAGTCGTCTCTCTTTAATCATTTATTTAATGATTCACGTAATTAGCAAATATAAAATGGTCGAATCTTCTCCTACGGTTGAGTGATACAACATCTTGTATTATACAAACTAAATTTATACTTTTATGTTATCGTGGATTGGATTTAATTGGTTCAAAAGGATTGGTGGATTGGATTCATGGATTCAAGTGAAATATAAACATTGGACCAATATGTAAATCTAAAATAAATTGTAGGTATGAAAATCTCATAAAATTTAGATAACAAAACATAATTGTTCAATGATTTTACAATAAAATTAAATTTGAGTATCAAAATGTAAAATGTACATTATAATGACTAAACTGTGATTTAGTTAAATTTGGAGTATCAAAGTGCAAATAATTAGGCAACCGTAACTTTGCTTCTTCTTTATATATAATAAATATTCTTATTTCTAAAAATACGTAAAGATGATAGGTTTTTCAACAATTATCACAGATTGGGGTGTGCTAAGTTATTGTCGTTTTAATTACCGAACAAAAATTAAGTTAGTGTCGTTTTTGGGAGATAAGTTGGATTACAAGTCAATTAAATTAACCTGATATACCAAAGCTGACCTTACAAAAACTAATACTTGTGTCGGAAACAAAGGGAGTCGGTAATTAGAAATTCATGTACCGAAGGACGAAGGTGTGACGCCCTTATGTCACCCGTGTCGACAGCAAAGGCAGAAAGGTACGGAAGGCGAGATATCAACCTATTATAATAGAGATAGCAAGCATTCTTCATTAAGAATATTAGAGAGACAAACAAAATCGTAAATTTGACGGGGGAGGGAAGGATCGAGGGAGTGGTCTCGACTCCTTGCGTGGTGGTTGAGCAAAAATGAAAGCCTGAAAAAATCAAACCCAACAACACCACGCTATGTGTAATTGATAAGCCTTTTCTCTTTGTTTGGGGAATTATGATGAGTAACCAAGTGAAAGTAATAGCTGGATAGCTATTATTCACCTACACTCCTGCAATTTATTTTTGGTACTGCAAATATGGACATCCGATTGTGTCCTATATAGTTAACTAGCTTTTACCCGACCCGTTGGTCGGATGAATTTTGTATTATATTTTGTTGTTTTGTATTAACCAATTTGCATATTTTCAAAAAATTTACAGTCTTTTAAATAGTTTATTCATAAAGGGAAAATAATATTTGTGTTACTTTTGAATTTTATATTAGTAAGTAATTAGTTCTGGTGATGTGGCCATCCTAGGTTACTGGTATCTATATTTTTTTATATTTTAGAAGAAAATTTTATACTTTTTTACATTCAATATAAATTGCTTAAATTGTTTTTCTTTATAAGATTTGTTATTATCGATGTACGGATCCATACCTCTTGAATTCCAAAAAAAAAAACATGTAAACTTTCTAAAGTGAATATAAAAAAGAACAAAATGCTACCGGTTATATTTCATATTCGCTACCACACACGGTGAAAGAACCTGGAAAACAAAAGTCACTGTAGGTCAATTTAATTTTGTTATTAGGCAATTTATCAGTGAAAAGAGAATGAGGCCCGACAATAAAAACTATAGGTTAGCACAATTGTTTGAGCCCAAATTAGATGAATAAAGCAGACAACTCTGAGTTCTCAAAGAGAGCTTTCACAAATATCTAAGGCTAGCAGTTTCAGTAATAGAAAATATATGTGCACATCAAAACTCATCGCAACTTTCAGTTCCAGCCCTAGCCCGCCAAAATATTGATCTTTCCTTCTCCTTCTTTTGCTGCAGCATTTCAATTCACATTCTAAAAATAGAAACATCAGCAGAATCAAGGCTATTTGTATTAAATGTTACGTTATGGGGTCTGATTCATCGGCAGGGTGGCTGACCACCTTATTGCCGAAAAACTTGGCAACTTCCCAACCAATTCACCGCTCTCGGTCAAGCGCTCACATCATCCATCATTTATCTATCTAACTCTTAACATATTTGGTTTCTGATCTGGCCATGGCCGGTGAAATGAAGATGTTGAGTTTTGTATCTTGCCCATGGTTGGAACTTGGAAGTGATGGTGGCGGTGGCGGAACATTGGGTGTGATGGGAAGCATTTGTAATTAGGAAATGCACCCAGACCCCAGTTGACTATCTTGGCTGTGAAATTAAAAATAAATTTGTGAACAAAAATAGGTGCATATGTACCCAAAAGAGGGGTAAATTATCAGTTAAAGACTACATCATTACTAAGTCATGATTGAGGAATTAGCATCCACACGAAGTTGGAATCGTCGAAGATTACAACTGGGTGTCTAAAGTGCAAATATAGTAACAACGGGGGAATAACCAAAATCAGCAAGTGTTTGGCTGAAAAACCACAGTGATTTCCATTAAAATTTCTCAGGTAAATTGGTGACATGATTGTCTGTAACTGAAATTGGTTTGGTATATTTAAAGGTTCTACTATGAAATAATAGCAAGAGATCCCTCAAGAGATCTTGTATCAATGATGAAAATGAGGTAACGATTCTTGTCATATGAACATATAAAACATCAACGAAAGGAGGCATACTGAAAGCATAGTGGAAGATAAGTTGAACAGAATGAGAACAAACTGTAAACTTGTCGTTGTTGAAAATTAAGAGGCATATTAGAACAAAGTTACTAACTGGGCATTGATAAAGAACAATTAGTCTAGGCACGTACCAGCGTAGTTTTGATAATAATGAAACATCTTTGTTGGTGATATAGCAAAGGAGCTTTGTGTTTCACCAATGTCGAAGCGGTGGGAACTGGGAAGACACTACAAAGCATGTTTGGAGTCGGAAACCATGCATAGTCCTTTTTGTTAATGAGAAATTGCAGGCCATGTCAACAATGACAGAGAAAATAATTAGGAAAAACAAACCAAGTTATTACAAAGAAATAGACACACGCCTTGAGAGTTCTTTTTCAAGTAGATAATAGAACTTTTGACTCCTAAAATAGATAGATTCAGCAAACTTTTTTTTTTAAGTGATAGATTCAGCCAACTTAATTTCGTACAACTTGAAAGCCAAATCGAACTGGATAAATATCTAAACCAAATAAAAAAATCGAAACCATATAGCAAAAATGACTAAAAGCTTT